ATCCATAGTTACGAAGCTGACGAAATGTGGCTGATGGTGTTGAGCACATCAGGGCATTTGTATGAACACAGGGTATCCATTTATTTTCTGCTGAATCGTTTTATTACTTTTTAGATGATCTATTGTGAAATTAAATGAGCTTGTTCTAGCTAACTGCAAGAAATGCGGATAACACATCGTTCTTCTTGACGAATACCGTTACACTTCCACAAACGCAACAGATTTTGGGAGCTGGAGTGTATGTTGTTTCGATACTTCTCTAAGATTAGTTTATTATTCAGCTCAGAATGGAATTTCAGATCGGTACATTATTCATCTGTCTCTGAACTTCTGTTTCTTTCACTGGAAAAAGGCACCTGGTTTGCTCCACTAGAAAAAGGAGATCTCGGAAGAGAAGATCTGGCTTTGAACTGGACAAGGTATCCATCTTTGAGAAAGCTTCTCTAAAGAAATGAAAGACATGTCGAGAGGCTTCAGATTGGAAATGACGACTCCTGTCCACTGCTGGCAGGAATCAAGTGGTGTAATGGCATGCTTTTCATATCCTATCGCATCATCGCTGGTGTTCATCTACCCTACGCTGGAGCAGATTCTCATTCAGGTGTGGTGTCAAATGCTGTGCACCACAGGCCTTTGAATGTCATATTTAAGCTCATGTCTCTTCCTCAACTCTTCTTTCAAATGCTACCATCGTTTCGTTATAGAGAGTGCAACTGAAACGATCAGCATTTACACATGCTCTTTTCACTGGATCATCTGCAGATACGATCTACTCGATGCCGCTTTTCTATGATTCCCCGACAAATTTGGTCTACTCGGCGTTAGTTATACTATTTTTTCCGTAGTATTACCATTAACCAGCTCTCTAGATAGATTCGTTAAGCTTCCTTCTTTTGTGGCTCTGTAGAAGTTGCTCGGCTAACATCACGTCGCATCGGAATAGTTTACAGGAGATGGTCTACCCTACCCGATCTATGGATAGAGAATATGCCAAGTGAGATGTGTGCTCAAGCAGAAAAGGAGAAGGAAGAACCGGAGGCCGAATTGCAAGATAGCGACTTAGTAACGGTACTGATCCAATGGTGTGTATTGTTCTAGTTCTTGACGTTTTTCTTGCAGTTGTTCGAACGTTGTGAACCCGTTGATCGAGTTGAGGTGTCCTGCCCTGATTTGGCCATTTTCTATGATGTTCATGATCTCAATGTACGGCTCAGCTCAGTTGGATCAATGCCCGTCACGGCAATACAGGTGCTGTTTATCTTGAGTCAGTTATTCCAACCTCACGACAATGTTTTTTTTTTCAGAAAGAGCAATTTGCTCTAACTATGCGTGTTGGGGACCCGAATATAATAGTTCGCGCTGTTCGGGTTGAATTACCGGCTGAACGAGGTCGAGGGCCATCCGAAGTCAGTTGAAAAAATAAGTCCGGATTTTATTTACAAGCGCAAGTGTTTGATAGTTTTTAAGGTTTCTATTGGCGATAAGACGTATCCTCTAACAATGACGACCGACCTGGCACGATTTTTCGACATTCGATTTACTCGGACGCAATCGCTGGAACTGTATGTGTTTACTCTTTTTTGCAGTGTTGTTAGATTCGAACCACTAGCACCGTTGTTTTTTTATTATGTTTAATTTTTAGGATCATAGAAACATCACTTTGACGTTTTCTGGGAAGATCTCGATCACAAGTAGGGATGACTGTAGTTTCTGTACGGCTATACGGCATGTCCAAGCGAGAGTTTGGATCTCCTCGTTCACATTTAATTGCAAGGATGCCTTTATCGCTGCCGGACAAGTTCATATTGAACGTGATTCGAATGCTGACTACGTTGAACACGAGAAATCTGATTGTGAAAGGTAAGCGATTTCTTGTTGCTACTCATATTCTTCACATGCATGTTCGCTTGAGAGATGGAGGCGAGATTGTGCGATTTTTGCAAGGGATGAACATTTTTTGGCTCCATTTGAAGAGAGCACTTGACGAATAACTGTGCTGTATGCACTTGTGATGAACAATGCCTCAAAGCGACCGCTTTTGCCCTGATAGTCTCACTTACTGAGGCAGAAATCGTGTTTTTTTTTCAAGGACCGCGATTGGATGGTGAAAACAGCATGTCGTTTGATCAGTCCTCGCTTATGCCATCGAGAACTTGTCGAGGCGGCCAATCGACTGCTAAGAGTGCTTCTAGTGGATAGTGCTCATGATTACTACGCACGGAAGGATATGGTCATCATAAGTGCGTTTGTTTTATATAGTTATTCCTTTTTTTGTTTTTTCTTGTTATGACCACTCGGCCAATTGGTGACGATGTTCAAATTTTGTTGTTGCCTCCCCCCCCCCCACTCTGACTAGGTTCTTTCTGGCTTTCATTTAGGTATTTACGAATATTCTGTCCGATTTCGAGAGCCTTGAATTGGAATTGGCAGTGTTTTGATCACGAATTGTTCAGTTCATTCCTGTTACAGACGATTTGGCGGTATTTTCTCGTGGTAAAGTGCCGATACCTAGCGACTTGATGGCAGATTTTGCACTTCAGCTCAAGTATATGATGTGTACACGTTGGAAGCAATTTTGGAGCATTGTGAAACGAAGTGAGTTCAAAAAATCATTTCATTTTCACCTGTATATTAGGGTTGTTTCTTGCATAACAGACCAGAACACGCCGTGCAGTACCACACCTTAGTACTTTATTTGTTCAGATTTCGTGACTGTTAGGGTTACCTGAGGCTACACAGCGTCTCTAAGCCCAGCAAAGAAAAACCTGATAAATTCGATGAAACTGGACTGTAGATCACAACTCGGTTAAGTGTTTTTGTAGAGTTTGGAAGCTCCGTGGCTATAATGTCGTTCCTACGTCGTGAGGTTGCTGCTGCTGCAACAATGGGTGCACCTTTTGGCGCTTCGGATCCACTGCCAGCTTTAGAGCTGTACACTGTTCTATTGTTCATCCTCTTGTCCGTCAATGATACACATGGGAAGCAGCTTACGGATGAATATCTCAGTTTGTACACTGACCCTAAGGTGAGGATTTTTGTTCGGATAGGATATGAGGAGGATGTCTTTATTTTCAAATATTTTTTTAGTTGTGTAGAGATTTTATTTTCGGAGAATCGTAAACACGAAACGGGTGAATGATTAACCACCACACCGTTAACCACGATCTATCTCGATCAAGAAATGCTTTCTTTTTCGCGTTTGGCAATATGCAGTACGCAGAAAAGAGTTAACTTGATTGGGTTTGCTGATGAAGTAAACAACTAGAACCATGTCCATGAGCGTGAGTGGTGTAGCCTTGCTCGGGAAGTAGCCTTGCTTATTATTCACATGATTAGAGGGTCTACTTGGGATTCTCACTAGGTCAACCAATCCTTCATTTCCATCGAGATCTATGATAGCTTCTGACTCGTATGGAAAGGTAAAACTGCGTTGAATTGCACACCAGCTTGATTTTCAGACTTCACATATAGCTCATCGTGTACCGACTTGTCGGCCAAACGCTCATCTATTCGTTCGCGTTGACTACGAGAAACGACCGATCTCAAGCCCGCTCTATGAATCCATCAGCGAAAGTTATGCGCTGGGGAGGCTTGAGGCCGTTTTTCAATCGCACAAAGATTTTGAGGTTGGCTGAATAACATAGTGAATTTCTTTGCTCTTTTTCGGGCTAGTCGTGATGGTGCTTACGGTAAAGTATTGAAAGTGAACATTGTGAATTTGAAGTCCGGAGGACGACCCAGTGCAGCTGGAGTTCTTAATGGGACCCGCTGTGTCCAGTGGAGGTGCTCACACAGAGGAATAGTGACATGTTCGACTTGGGTAGGTTATAGTTAATGTTTACTGTAGTTTAATGAGGATAAAAATGAATCACTATAGATTATTATAAGCTATTCAGAGAGTGAATGGCTTCTTCATCTGTTGCAAGCTGTCTTAGCCAAGATTCGCGACGAAGGGTCCATCGGCTCGTTACCTGTTGAAGGTGTTCCTGTTGGGTAGGTGTAGGAACGATTGGTGATAAACGGCAAGACTTGCCAAATTCACTAAATGATACTGTTTTGAAGGCGTGGTGACACGGTTCCATCAACATCTCTTCTGATCTTTGCTATGGCTCTCATGGCTCAGCTGTATCCAGCAAACCTCTACCCCACGGTTGTTCAATTGATTGCCATGGTAGATTGGAAAGCGAGCATAATTGAGATCAACGATCATAATTACAGGTACGTAAGACTTTTGCTTCATGCTTGCCCTTTAGGTGAAATATGGTCATGGTGACTAATACTACAGTCGATATCCGAAAGTTGGGGTAGGTGTGGCACCGGAACGTGCACTTGATAGAAGTTGCGTGGATAAGCTGTTGCCAGCATGCTTTGCTGATATCCAGCGATGTATGTTGGAAGCAGCTTATCCACATAGCTTCTATCAAGTGCACGTCACTTCCGGTGACACGCCTACCCCAACTCACGGATATCGAGTATATCTCCGTTGAAGAAGTATTTTTTTTTCAATGCTTTTGTCGACTAATTACGGATTACAGGCAGTTCCTACTGTTTCGCCTCATCTTCGTACTGCTTCTAAAATGTGGGGAGCACCTAGAGAACAGAAAGAAAAGCGAGAAGGAGTCTGAAGGTAAGGTTTGGGAATATTCAAGTTTTTTCTTTGCGCTGTACGAATTACGTGTACAGAAATGTTAGTTCGGCTTTCAGCAGGGCACTTGATTTTTCTTTCATAATGGAATGAGGCTGATTGGTGTTTTTATTAGGCCAGGTCTGGCCTATTTGAAAATTTCGCATTTAGTTCCGAAATTTCTACCGGACCAGTTGAATTTTTTATCGGTCCCTCGTCACTTAAAAGCGGTGATCCCGATGGCTGGTGGGCGGTGCGGTGGTAACTGTCATTGAACGTCATTGATGGACTAGAGATCTTAGCGCGCCGGAGTATGGTTGGGACGCACTTTACACATTACCACCGATAACGTCCAATGACGTTGTCAATATCGCACCGCCCTCTAGCTATGGTGATCATTTTTTGTGACTTCCATGAATTTCTGGGTAAGGGAAGATTATAACATTGCATTTCACAAATAGTTCATAAAATATGGTTTCCACTTGATCTTATCATATTGTAGATGAATGCTATGCATATATTGGAAGAGAACTGCTGAAGGTGCAATAATTTTAGAGAAGCGAGCTGGTTCGAGCGGCACCATGCTACCAGATGTTGACTCGGGCTCACCGTCAAGCTCAATGCCGTCGGGCGGAGTGGAGTTCGGAGCTGATGGCTCGAGAGAGGCCACACCCATTAGTTCGTCAGAAGATCGAACAACGACAAAACGTCGAAGCACGGAGAAATTGCTCGGACAGGTCAGCGAGCTGTGATGATTTTGAGTATTACATTAACCCAAGGGAAATCCATAGCATCATGAGTTCTTATTACTGCTCGACATTAGCCGCTTAATTTAGGTAGTTTTTTTAGATTGTGAATCAGCTGTGCAATGCAGGAGCCCTAGAATTCTGTCGTGATTTGCTAGAAAGCGTTGCAAGCTACTGGCGTACAGCAAGGGAGCACAGAACGGCACCTAGAGCCTGGTCACGCGACTGTGGGGCGACGTCAAGTGAATCTACTGTCTCAGGGATATCCAGTGGTTTGTCTTTTTATAGTAGCGATATCGATAGCGATAAGAGCAAGTTTTCACGATGAGTGAAGTGCTCGAAAAGCGATTTCAAATTGTATCGCTCGTAGTTTCCTTAGGCCGACGCACTATGAAACGCCTCTGTATGTAGTGTTGCGATGCATGTTACTAAAGCTGTGTTTCGGTGCAGTCCGATTATAAACTTGATTTTCGTACTCGAACATACCAAAGTGAGCCAGCTTCCAATAACTGGTCTTAAATTTCATCTAGGCAGGGCTGATTCAGTGGAAAGAGGCTGCTGCTACTCGCAAGATTGAACTCTAGGTTAGATCTTACCTAGGCCTACCAAATTTTACAAATGGCTGGTCCTTTCCAGGAAGGCTAGCCGCTATGCGAAACATATCTGTAGTTCTTTGAAAAAAGGGGCCGAAGCGTCAAGGCTTGAGAATTTGTTCTACTTAAGTGACAGTCATTAAGGGTGTTCACGTCCACTCGTAAAGTGATGGGTCTATTTTTAGGCGCACAGGAGTCATGGATGCTCGAGAACACTACTACACGATGATCACTGACGTTGCGCTACGTCTACCTTGTCAGATGAGACGAATACTGAGTGATGTGAAGTTTGACGAAAGATGGCAACGAATCCTCTGCGAGGTATTTGTTGGTTTAGACTAAATAAAATTCTACGGAATTTATTCTCAAGGTCAAAGCGTCTGTTTATGTCATTTATATCATTTTAAAACAATACATATTCCATTTATTTTGTCAACAGTTCAGTTACAATGAACCAGAAAAAACCTGAGAAACACCTTTCAGCTTTTTCCTCAACACGCTCCCAGCTTCGCAGACAGAGAAGAAGGTTCTTTGGCGATGTTCAATGGAGACAAGCAGAAATATCGTGAAGTACGCGACCAGCATATGATGCGAGCACATATTGAATTGCTTAAGAAGAAGTATACCCAGAGCAGGTAATACTCATCCTATATGTTTATCCTGATTCAAACTCTAGGCATTGACCCGCGTGTTCACGTCACGTCCCTGTAATTCAAGGCAAAGTGCGGCAGCTAGCCGTCTTCCGATTTAGAACTGTGCGAATAGGCCGATGTAAACCCTCCTGTATTTTCCTGTACCTTCAAACTATTGTAGATGACTTCCACCACTTTTAATAGCGACTGATTTTGGTATGCGCACGTTTCCAAAAGCCTCTCACTGCAGATGATATAATAGAAAGAATCTCATATCAATACTAGCAAATCGGTCCTGTAGAGCGATCATGGCGAGTTCTTATGTTTTATTTCCCCTTCGCATCAATTTCTAAATGTTAACGACATCTACACTCTCATGAACTCATGAATTGCTTACAGTGAACGTGGCTGAAGAAACTCTCTTTTAGCAACTTCAACCATCAACAACTTACTGAAATGTGAATTGTAAGCGCAGTGGCCCGGAGCAAACCACGCACAGCTTTGTGAAGTATTTGGCGAAGAGCAGAGTAGCGTTGATATAATGTATAATTTTTATACCCAATAGTGGAAAGTTTTGATAGGAACTTTTTAGCTTAACTGGCTCCTGCAACTAGCTTGTCGGGTGGCCGATGCTGTTTCATGCAGTGTAGTAGACTTACTGGTATCGGCAATTCGTGAAACTCCCGGACATCAGGGTGAAAACATCCATCTGGCTGACAAGTGAGTGGTGATTTTTTTGGTTCCATGCTTCTAGTTTTCATTTGTGCAGGTAAGATCACACCTACCACCGAGTGTCCTTCAAGATTCGTGCCTTTGTAACTAGACTTTCTCTTTATTTATGATCCCAACTGTGTCAGATGAGAAGGACTACTGTGCTACCCTAGGCTCCACCGAGTACGACACACCAACTGGGGGTGAAGCAGGCCTCGCTTCACAAAACACTGACTCATTCTAAACTCTCTGAAGCGTGTTCCTGTAGACCAGTAAAGGCATTGCTAATAGACCAAATGATGTTCCTTCTCCGCTGGAAACTCTGCAAGATTACTGAAGATCATTGTATTTTGTAATCGTGAAAAGGAACTGCAATTCATTGACGCACGAGATTGAGCGAGCAACTGCATAAATAAAATCGAGCACATTTCACAACTAATACTGCAGGACACCTTCTAACAAAATGTTAGAATAATCTATGAAGAGAAGAATCGATGCCTGCTGATGATGCTACTTGTTCGTTATTTGATCGGACGTGATGAAAATAGAAGATGGTTAATGCACGGCTTGCTGAGGTCGACCATCCAGTTGGCTAGTCGACAGAATCAGGTGGGTTTGCCTGAGGTTTTTCTCATGACCCTCATGAGATATTATAGTTAGAGATTCGAGATTGAATTATAGGTAGTTATGGATATGGATGTTAGGGATTTTTTTCGCGTACTCTAAAGATCTTTAGGGTGGCTTTTTTCACCACTTTTTATAGCGAATCGCAAAATCTAGAGGTTCTTTTTAGAAGGGGTTTTCGGATGTTTTTGTTGAAATGTTTTTGCGAAAGTGAATCATGTACGGATTTTTAGAGCCCTTCGAATCTTTCTCATTGAAGCCTATTCCCAAGAAAACTGTTGCTATTGGATATCGAGCTCCAGTAACTGGAATAAGTGTGATTTAGATGACGTTACTTCGTATTCTGTGGAATGATCTATGGCCCCTTGCCCGAGGTCTCGGTGATCATGCCGCACAGCTGGCAGACATACTGTCCACCTATGCTTCACGCCTATTCAGTTCAGCAGAGATGCAAGCAGTATGCGACGCTGAACTAGAAGCGATCAGTGCTACGGTTGCCAGGTTAGTGAAAATTTTTATTTATCCTTACACGTAAGCCATCCAAGGGTTGCAAGTATAGAACGAAAAGAGTCTTACCTAAAAGTTGATCCGGGATCTGAACGAATTTCGCTAAGGTCCCATGTCCCAAATTCGTTCCCTTTGCTGGTGGGCGCTATGGCGCCGTGGGGTAACAGCTGTCTGAACAACTTGTACCACCTTTGGGTGTCACAATGACATCAGTGTGGCATCCTCAAGGCAGCCACTAATCATTTTGCTCGTTTTTTTTTCACAACAGTGATTCAGATCATTAATAAAACAGCAATATTCATCAAAATTTAGTAAGGCAAGGATAAAGTTGATTTTGCTGGTAAGTAGGTGTTCTAGGGAAGTTCTATGTTTTTGTGGTTTAGAATCGAAAAAGAAGGCCATGCCGGTTGGTATCGCCAGATGACAGGACTCGGATTAGGATGGAAGACAATGCTGATGGACACCAGTCCGTGCCTCGTGTGCTTTTCCAGAAAGGTTGGCGTGGATCAACAATGTTCTTTCCCGATTCATTCCTGTTCATTTTGTTTTCATTAATTTCAAACCTATTCTTTTATCCACTTTTGATTTGACAACTCTCCT